ATAAAACCAGCCATCAAATATCCTGACTGAAGTATATAAGAGGAAAACTGCATACATGCAGAAAACTATCTCTGAGCCTCTGAGTTTGTTTCAGTGCAGGCTTGTCTTTGCAGTGCTGCAGATGGGCTCACATACACTAGAGCTGCTGCCTTCTTCACTCCAGTTAAGGGGACCGTGGTCACAGCACTCAACATGCAAGGTTTATGGTTACGCTCTTCGTTAGTCAAAGCTACTGGAACTGCTGCCAAGCACTCAGTAGTCACTCTGTGTCCCTGCTCTTGTTTTACAATATTTAGATAAGCAGGTTGCCTAGCAGCCATGCTGAATAGACTTTGTACATGGTTTATACATAATCAAACAGTAGTCTGCTTTGGGCAAATCACTCCTTGTATTATATTGAGGTTCAGGTCTCTACTTGTCCCTGTCAGAGCAAATTACCAATGTTTTTTTCATTGTTGCCACATTTTTAATAGTTTTGTACCTGTGCCTCTAGGTGAGTGATTACTTATTTTAAGGCCAGTATCTGTGGAGAAAGGCTGTTTTTATGTCTCTAAATAGGAAACAGCAGTTCTGTAAATATACCGGCCAGGGTGGACCTTGGCACTTGTTGCTGCGCCTGGTGAACAGAGCGCTATGGTTTCCTAGATGAATGGCAGGCCCTGTGTGAGAACTCAGCCTGGCTTGGTCCACAAGGGACAGTCACAAGCAGCAGCTCAGTATAGTCTGTTGTTGGAAAAGGTTAGAGGTTACCTTACAAGAGCACTAAATGGTAAATGGGAGTTTAATTGGCTTGCTGGTTTTGCCTGTTATCTCACCCTAACAAATTTATGGACAAATGAATGCAGTAATACCCCCCATTTGGCTCAGTTCCTGAAGGCATGCTATCTGTCATCAGAAATGCCACAGTGGCACCGAAGCATAAAGCTGCATTTCAGCCATTTCTAGATTATCTGATGAAAAACTGCTGCTATAGTTTAGTCAAAACTCTATGTTACACAGAGAAAACAATCTTTTTTTCTCTCTGTATGGTTTATCTTTTTGATGAAATCAACAACCATGTTGGTAATTCAGTTTGTGTGAAATCCAAAAGCTGGACAATGACACAAGCCTGTGTGTTGGCCTATTTCTAGAGAATGCATTGTGCAGTCCTCTACGTTTACCGTTGCTGGGAAAAGTGCCATTTACACTTTGGCTTCGGCTTCGAACAATGGGGCAGATTCCATGAGCTATATTCTGTTGTTTCCCTCGCTCTGGGAAACCGCTCTCAGTTCCAGTTATTTTTGGAGCTGACTGTAAATTGTGGAAGACAGATGAAGTATTTCTCCTTCAAAAGAAGACCTCTGGCACATTGGGACTGGGAGTAACAAGATGGTTAAGAAGGTGTGCGTACTTCTTTGTGTTTGTGTGGGTGCATGTGTCACTTTTGGCCTCTTCGTCTCAGTGGTGGCCTTTGTTTGCACAGATTTTTTTTTTACAATTTGACAAGCTTTATTTTTAGTCACTGTGGAACAACCATGGGCTGCTGAAGCATCTCCTTGACCCAAATGGGAGACAAAGACCCAGTGTGCCATGGGATAGCAAAGAGTGTGTTATTACACACAAGTGTAAAGAGCCGATTAGATTGCATACACAAGTTTCCAAATATGTCACAGCTGCAGACAGTTTTTTGACACAGAACTGTCTGATATCATCAGGTGAATGACAAACCCTGTTAGATTAGACAATGGAGTTTTGAAGAAAAATTAAAGGAAATTCTCAATGAAGCGCGCTGCTGGAAAAATAGCTTCCACAAAAAAGGGAAAAAAAGTATCATTTATATTCAGCAAAGTATTGTGTCAACTAAAAGTTATAGGTCATGAAAATATTTCTAGAGGACTGTGTAAAATCCAACTAGTCCCAAACTCTCTCTGATCTTGTGTTTATTGAAAGCAGTGAAGGACCACACAAACTCCTAACATGGGTCTCTGGCATACGAGTCGGTTTAAATTACATTGAGTTTCCTAGAGGTAAATCAGGTGCTGTGTCCTTCACTCATAGGATCTTGTGTGTAATAAGCTAATTTTAGATCAATATAAAACATTTCTGTTGGAGTTAAACATCGCTGAGCTGGTGCAGACTGCATTCCAATCCATTTATGAGCATTTGCAGCATGAGGCAGACTGCCTCGGTTGTTTGGAGTGCTGCACTATACTTTTGTGTCTGCTTGTCGAGTCAGGGAATTGCCTAAAGCTGAGTAGGCTGAGGTTCATTTACGTGGTACCACAGACAGTAACTTTTCAGCAGAAATGTATAGCAACGCCGATCCTGCTCATTAAAATTTTAGTCCACTTCAGGCAATTGAATCACTTTTATCTAATTTTGATAGTCAAGCTAATGTAATTCTGGTGGGAATAAATAAAGTTTCATTGTAAATGTGCAGAAAAAGTGTTTTGACCTCAGTCATGGTAGATCCTGCAGAAGACAAGTTCCTTTGTATAAGACAAACCCATGTAATCTCTCACATGTTGTTTGAGTGGTGTTCCAGGAATTTCAGAACCTGAACACCAGTCCGTCTTCCTGCTTATCTGGTCATGTCAACAGAGCTCAGCAGGCACTCTCTCAGCTCTAACTGCTGTATATTTACCCAGAGTGAACAGTCCTTATGCAACCACTACACCCCGTGCTGCTAAACTCTTCAGCCGAGGCCTCCACAGTTGACCCTCAAACCCTGGTTTCCTGTTGGGGTGTACAGGACACCGTGCAGCATGTTGAAGTCTGTGCTGGTTTTCTCAGTCTCATTGCTAGTGTGAAGTGATGGAAGCCTGAGCTTTCTTTCACTGCATGTTTGTAAGCGATTGGTTCATTTGTATTCAGATATAAACACTGCATTTACAGAGAGCGATGACAAACACAGAGCTTAATAACAAGGAAGGCAAGTTTGCAGAGATCAGTTTCTCAGTGTGGGAAGGCCTCTTTTTGACGCTGGGAGCAGAGAAAGGATAAAGGCTGTGGTATGTTTGGGGTTGTATTAACTGTTTGGCCTCTGCTTTGAATGTCCATTTGTTAGGCTTCCCGCCCATTAAGTGTTGTGGATCTAATCAGTCTGAAAGTCATCTTCTTATAGTTGGGCCTCATGTGTGGGGCCCCTCTCTTTGTGAGTAGTCAGACTGTAAACACTACTCTGCAATACTGAATCCGAGCCCTGTTACAAACAAACCTTCACACTAACATTTTTTGACACTTTTACACTTTTTTATGCAAATTTCCCATCTCATCTTCTTGTCATCCCAGATGGGTTAAAAAGTATAAAGTATAAAAACATCCTACATTTTGAGTCCTCTAAGGTCAGGGCTGCTTGCCTGGTGTGAGGGATTGGACCAGATGGCTTCTCAGCATAGAGCAGTGGGACCCAGGGGTAGACAGTATGTAGAAGGTTCCTATATCCTCTCCATGTTTTTTCTATGTTTACCTGGCTGTTAAATTAACCTATGGGGAGCTGGGGGCTGGTGCTGGCAGAAAATAAAAGAGGTTCAAGTTGATACTAAATGCTTGATGAACAGGTACACCAAAATCACTCAAGGCTTTGCAGTTAAAAGGGAGAACAGCTGTTGTTCTCAGTGAGTTGTAGCCAAAGGAGTGACATTGCAACCCTGCCAGACCTGACTGGCACCACACTCCTCTGTGTCTATTTCTGAGGCGGGGGGTGCACACAGGGTTGAATTGGAAGGCACATGAGAAACGAATGTGGGTATTTCTTGGACACTGTAGGCACTCTTATCCTGGCTAAGCTTTGTGTCCCTTGTGATCATCACAGGTAGCCTGGACTGAAGGCTCGTACCACAAACAACCATGACAGGGAGAAGAAAAGCTTTTCTGTCCTGAGAAAGCTGGGAAAATATCCAAACCTATGGCAGATTCTTGTGACACTAATTCCTCCCCACTGGCACTTTCTCTTAAAGATGCTAGGCTAGATTTGGGTGGGATACTAAGGAAGAGAAAGCACCTAGCCTTGCCAGGACCCTCAAGTGGTCATTACAAGAGAAGAGAAGGGAGCGTTGTGATTTGTTGGATATTTTGAGTCCTTCCTCTGGCTCTGATCTAGATGTCTACTGTGATACTGAGCTTGGATAAAGGACTCTAGCTGGCTGTTTGCAATGTTCCCACATGGATTTTCTGTCACAGTTAAGGCCTGCATTAGGGAACTAGATCAAAGGAGTCATAATTGAGCCCAGTAAAGGGTAGCGTGACCTAGATACCAGCAAACTGCAGTCCTTGCTTATTTGTCAGATGTATTTATTGACCCTGATTTTTTTTTTTATGTGGGTAGCTACAGCACATACATTATATAATTCAGTTTCAATATGATACACACTTTGTTTAACACAGGTAGACTGCCCTATAATTTCTCTTAAGTTCAGTCCATGGTCATGGTCCCTCTTATCTGTCTATCTGACTGTACTTTTCTGCTTTGTTGTCAACTGGGCTGTCTTTTCTCTGTTTCTCTCTCTGCCTCTATCTCTTTTTTTGCACCTCCCCTCTCCACTGTCTCTTGTTTTATTGTCTATGTGTGTTGTGCTGAGCTGGCTTCTGTCACCCTGTGATTGTAGTTAAGCTCTGTGGTTTTTGCGTTAGTAGCACTCAGAGTGTATGGTTCTATTTGGCCCCTGCTGACTCCATGCCTGGTGTCTCACTGAGTGTGTCCACCTGTCTCCTTATTCAGGAAACACACATACACGCCATCACTCCTGCCGCTCCATTGCCTACCAGAGAGATGACATCACTTCTAACACACACACATACAGATGGATACATGTAGGGGACACAAACACTGACACACTCTCCATATGGGCAAGTGGGCATTTTTGAGCCTTTCAGTCTGTCAAACAGTGTGAGTTGTTTACTGCTTTTTAACTCGATTAGTATTCAGGCGTGACTGGTGCATCATCGCATCCTGTTGGTAAATAATCTGTTGCCATTTTCAGATGCAAACAGCACTTTACCCTTTATCTCGTTTCTTTCAGTTCTGATTGGGTGGAGATCCTGGAGCCACGCTCCCGTGAGCGTATGTACGTGAACTTGACCACTGGTGAGTGCGGCTGGGATCCCCCTGTAGGCGTTCCTGTCCGCCAGGCAGACGGTAACCAGTGGTGGGAGCTGTTTGACCCCCAAAGTGGTCGCTTCTATTACTACAACTCTAGTGGCCGCCGCACAGTCTGGCATCGACCCCAGGGAGCCGATATAGTACCCCTCTCCCAACTCCAGGCCATGAAGCGAAGCAATGAGGCCAAGCGGACTGGAGGGGGCGCGGACAGGCACCACCATGGGACCACGGGGAGTGTCAGCAGTGTAGGGAGCCAAGGGCGCTGCACCCCTCTTCCTGAGCAGGACGGAGACAACCCTATCCCCATAACCTTGGAGACCAGCGAGGAGACTGCCAACCCCGAAATGGACCCAGCAGTAGACAGCAGATCGCAGGGGGACGGAAGCAGCAATGAACACAGCACAGATGGCAGCAAAGACCCACAGAGGTAAGCCTGACCAGACTTTCAGTAGCCTCTACAGTAAATCTGGAAAGAGAATTGCGCGTAATCATTAGTGGATCGTATTACCAGGAGAAAAGTGGGGAAATGTGATAGTCATCGCAGCATGTGGTGTAGTGAGTCGTAATGACTTTCAAATGCTTCTGCCATGAGAACACGCAGGATTATTTTGACTTTTGACCACTCGAGCTGAACTCAAACTGCTTTTTTATTTTCATTCTCACTTATCTGAACATTCCATATGTCCCATGTTTCCATACTGTTGCCTGTGAACTCTGCTCAGCCATTTCAGCAAATCGCTACCAAATGGGGAGAATGGTCAGTTATATTACAGAGCACGACATTTCCCCCACTCACGCTAGGGTTACTGGTGCAGAACGGCCCCTAACAGTAACTCCTTCAGAGACACCATCATGTGCTTGGCGTTGTGGCCTCTTCCAAACCACCATCTCTTCCCTCCAAGCCAGATTCCAGACATGCCACTTCTGTTTCCCCTGGCACAGGGCCACTGAGGCCGTCTTAGTGTCCTTCTGTGTGCTCACCACCACCCTGTTCCTCACTGCTCCAATGCTCATTTCATTTTCCTAAAACAAATCTAGGCCCCCAGCCATCAAAGACTGTAACGCCTCTTATGGGTGAGAGATTAAATGTGCATGCATGAGAGGCATGTGAGAGAGTGTTGTCTGTGCTTAATAACAAGCAGAACCTTTACATTCCAGCTGCCTATAAACAAGGCGAACCCCGCTGGTTTTCAGAGGCTTTGCCATGGCAACTCTGACTCTCGGGTTCCTTCTGGCTCTTCTTGTACCTCACCTTGGCCATCCTCTGACCCCCTGATCCTTTGGAATTACGCAATGTTAGAGGGGGAACTAATTGGTCAGCCGTGGTTGTCGACTGCCACCAGCGGAGCCCTGTTGCATTCCCTGGTGTGTGTTAAAACCCCCACACACGGGGTCCCACTCTGCCCCAGTGACTCAACCTTTCCCAGAACATTTTCTGTCTTCTCTTAAACAATGGCCAGCTGTGTTCCCCCAAAGGAAAGCTGAGGAGTCCAGATCTCTCTATATTGCCATTAAGAAAACCCCTCATTATGCCGCCTTTGCTTGTTTACTCTGAACCAAACAAAGCAGGTATAACCACAGTATGTGATTTTTAGACTCCGGTGAGCTGGAATCAGAGCTGTTACATGTAAAACAACAGCGTCGTCTGTCCTGCCATGCCAGCTCTCCCTTTTATGCAGGGATCGATTTGGTTCTGTGACCTCCTCGTTTTGCAGGCTTAAAGGCGAAACAACAATGCCCCCTCATTCTGTGCTCATGCCTTTTATACAGAACACCAAGGCAGAATAGAGGTGCAACATTCCCGCCTTGAGCAGGCCGTGTAGAAGGGGCTTTTAAACCACTGAGGCCTGATACCCTTCTCAGCCATATGGCCCTTCGTATGCTCACTAGCCTCCATCTCTGCAGGTAATTGGATACCAACTCAAAAAGCACAGAGGGGGTTGAATGTGACAGCTCAAAATGGTTGAAAACAAACTCTGAGACATACTTGCCTTCAGTTAATGGCCCACCTAACTGATAATGACAAAGATCAATGAGTAAGAGCAAGGGAGAAAGTTTAAGTGAAGAGTTGGTCATAGTGGTTTGGGGTAAGCTAATTGTTCTGTCCCACCCAGAAAAGAGGAGTGTCACAGGCTTTCATGACAACATAGTGGTCTTCCTGTTTTTTTGATCATACTGCTTCTGGTCATAACTTTTTTTTGTTCCTCAGAGTAATGGGGCATTTCATTGTTTCAAATTCCACAATGTTTGGTTTGAATGTCTCAGCTATTGTAGACATGTCTTCACATGTTCTTTCTCCCTCCTTTTTTTTTCTCTGTGAAATTTCAGCAGAGATGAAATGTTATTAACTTATGACTTCTGAAAAACAATGCTGTTCTCTGTGGAGAACAATCCCAGTTCTTCCAACACCAGTTTCCTTTTGTTTTGGCCTATTAATATATCTGTTCATACTAGATAAAAGAGTTTCCAAAGTTTTCACACAGCACACCCTTTGTGTTATTCTAAGCACTGGTTGGTTGATGCAGCTTCCTTTCTCTGTCTCTCTCTCCCTCTATTTTTAAAGATGATCTCTGTATTCATCTACATACATGTTTGTAGGAAGTGTAGACATACGACCACACTCGACTTGATTGCCAAATCTGTTACTCATTGGCCAAGTCTTATCACATATCCTGGGAATTTCTGAGCATTTTGAACCTGTGGAGCTCATCAGGGAAGTACCGTGTTCTCCAGGGGTAAACATGTCAGTCACATGTGGTTGTGAGCACAGGAAACTAAAGCAAACTGATCTCTTTCCATGATGTAGGAACTGAAGGTGTTATGGATCAACTAGCTTATAACACCTGTATTGAATTTCATCCACCATTCAATACACGAGTGTGTCTGTCTGTTGTAGTCATCAACCAGGTAACATCTGGGGCAGTTTCACCATACATAATGTGTGATTTGTGTGTATGCCCGTCTTCACTGTGTGTGGGCTCCTTTCTACAGAGCTTTTAAGTCACAGATCCCTGCTGAGGTTGTGTGGATGTTAAAAGTCTGCTGAGGACGCACAGCAGCATGAAGTAAGACAACCCACAAGTGACCCAAGGTGGTTCACATCAGGGTCACATTACTCTCTTGTCTTATGGGCTGGCCTGGGGAGTATAATGGACCACTAAAAGGAACAAAGGCCCCCACTTAAAGCCAGTTGTCCCCCAGGGTCAACCAAAAGCTTACTCTAAGCAGGAAGTGTAGGTATGCTGAATGGTGAAGAACACCAAATGACTTGTATGTGCCCTCTCATTTAGCCCTGTAATGATATAGCAGCGCACTAGCATTCAGTCTAAGGCAGTCACACTGACATTAGACACTCGTCTTTCCTGATTGTCGGCTTTGGACTCCTTTAAAAAGATTCAGAAAGCTTACACAGATGTTCGTGTATCAGTATTTAAGTGAACTCAACTCTGTCTGGGTTGTTACATTGTTTATTTTTGTGTGTGCTTATACAAAGGACTCTTCACTTTAAAGAGGAGACAAGATATTTTCACACTCATACTTTATATGTGTGCAACAAGATTAGTTTAAAGGGATGTTGATGTCTGATGTATTTTAGGGAAGGCAAAGGGCAAATGTAGAAACCTCTCTGCAAAAGACAGGTGTCTAACAACACAACCACCTAAAAAACCGAACTGGAAACATTGTCTCTTGATTTTCTATTTCACTTTCTATTTTGGGGGATTTTTTTAAATAAACCCCATGTTTGAAAGAAAAAGTATAAAAAGGCCAAAAGAAAACAGACTTCCCCTGATACACTTGTGACTGTCTTACTGTGAGTCATGTATGAGAGATCACCAGTGGGTTTATGTAGGAAACGAGGGGGCGTCTTATGAGGTAGATAAAGTTTTTAAGTTTTAATGAGTCACACATTGTCTGAATGTTTACTGCCAGAGCACAAGCCTCTCATGCTTTTCATCTCCCGCCACTCTGAGGACGTAGCCACAGCATTTTTACACACACTGGAAAGAGTTGTTTTATCTCTACACTCCTGGTGTGGTAAGCTCATTTTTCAGCTCTTTCCAGATGGAGTTTTAAGTCTGCCTATAATAAGAAAGTAGTTTTTTTCCTTTGCACTTTGAACCTTATATGTGCCTTAGTGCTTTGGTCTGGTTAGCTGTGACAATGTCCTTATTTCGTTTTTTATCTCTGCTGTTCCTCTGCAAGTCTTTCTCATAAATGCAAAGTTTATGGCGGTGTCAAGAACTAGATTACAGAGCTAAAGTTTTATGTGTCTCTGAAGCAGAATATCCAAAACCTCTTGTTTTATTTTTGATATCACTGAAACACTGCTTTTACAGCTAACTTCACTCTGCTGTTGTGGTGTGGTGGAGTATCTCAAGTGAAGAAGCATTGGCACCACATGTATACTGGCCTCAGGCTTGCTGCTTCAGCTGACTCGCAGCATGAAGAGACATTATTAGTGGTGTGTGTGTGTGTGTGTGTGTGTGTGTGTGAGTGTGTGTGTGTGTGTGAGTGTGTGTGTGTGTGTGAGTGTGTGTGTGTGTGTGAGTGTGTGTGTGTGTGTGAGTGTGTGTGTGTGTGTGAGTGTGTGTGTGTGTGAGAGAAAGAGAAGGGGATCCAGTTTTAATCATGTCAGCCAAACAGTGTGCTATAGTGGGATTTGGCCTCATGAGAAGAGTTGCAGATACACTTTCAAATTCCAGAGGCGGGTCTCTCTGGAATCTAGTTGGGTTTGGCCGTATCCTGTCTCTTCAAAATGATCCTAGTGGCTGTCCTCTGGCCCATCCCAGCACTCCTCACAGGGTCGGGCTGCGGGAGCCACAGACATGCACAGCTGGTAGACATCTTGGCTCAGACGAGGGAGGTGCGTCACTTCAGCTGTTGCAGGACAGCTGGCTCTCTGGAGGTGTCTTACAGGAACTAGGGGGCTACCAGCTTTGTCCCAAGCCCAAAATGTTATTCTATGCTTCTGCTTCATAATTTTATGACTGCTTAAAAGTGAGAAGAAAAATCAGCATTGAATGTTGGAGAAGGGGGTATGACATTGTCCTCTGTGAATCCTCTTTGTCTTTTCAGTTTCCTTCCTCAAATCGCAGTGATCCCATTGGTCCATGCTCTGAGGTGTTTGTGTAGCAGAAGCTTGGCCTGTGCGACCTCATTTCCTCTTCCTGTCCAGCCACTGTTAATAATAACCTCTGTTTTTCAGACCCCACTATTCCCAGGGGGTAAATTTAAGAACTTCCAAATCCATATCCCTATCCGCCAAAGTGACTCAGCTGATGACTTTTCCAACAACAGTTATTCCAGGCAGGAAAGAAAGAAGAAACAGAACATCTGCTGACAGCAGTGAATTTAGTAGGCTATTGAGACGGCCTGACCACAGGAATATTCAGAACAGTGACAGAGGTATCTGAGACTGTGTTTGTGGGTGTGAGACACCAGTGCTGCTGAGATTAATTGAAATTTGCTGACCGTTAAGTTGATTTGCTGCCCCAGAAGCCAATCAGATTATCCCATTGGTGTCCAAAGGGCCTCTAACTTTATTTTATCTTACATTTTTCAGTCTTCCTAAAGGTCTCACATGCTAGCTCCAGGTTCTGAATAAATGGGTTTGTAAGTGTCAGTGTGGGCATGCAATAGGTGCGCTGTGTGTGTCTAATCATGTGTGCTTGAGAAATAGTTGAAATGGAGATCGTCTCTTTGCAAACAGTGAGACATTTAGAGAAATCTGGAGAGTTCTTACACTCCCAGTGATAATTATCATGTCTCTTTTGACCTCTGTGATAAATTGCTGTGCTTAATCCCCTCCTTCAGCTAACAGTCAACACCTGACAGGCAACACACCCTTTCCAAACAACTTTCATTATGGTTAGAAAAAGGTCCAGGCCTGTTCAGTGTTACGTAAGAGCCTGTCTGTTTGCCTGACTGTATCTGGAGGTTGAAGATGGCTCTTTCAGGTTGAGTTTCTTCCCTGCCCCCTCCCTTTTGCACTCCATTGCTGTCGTTGAGGGAGGCGTCTCCGTGACGATGGCACAGCCACACATTGTGTTGAGGCTCCCCACACTACCACAGAGGCCCCTGAATGGGCCCTGAGGAATGCCAGCCTTCCCGCTCATTCCCTTGCTGCACTCTCCCACGACTAATCCCCACCCCTTCTCATTTACACATGCTCACACCCTGCTCTCTTGTCTCTCTAGCTCTGTTCTCCTTCACCCCCCGGCCCCCCATCCCCCACCAAGTGTCTCCCTAGCATGGGCCTGTTGTATTTTCTCACCATTGTACTGTCCTTCTCTCTCTTTTGGTCCAGAGTTTGTAATCATACTTTATTTGGTTGACCCTGGGTTTACTGATATGTGAGTTGTTCTAGCTGGGTAATGGGATTAGAGGCTTTGGAGGGAGATCGAAGACACTGTACAGCCTTACTGTTGCAGTTGGCTACTCGCCCCCATGCGATGGTGGTGATCATCACACCAAGCTCCCTGCTGACATCTAACATAATGTGCCAGTGCTGGAGGGGGTGAACATGCTAGACCTTTGCTGAGCCTGAGTGGGACAATGGCAGGCAAACAACAGAGACAAAGCCTGACAAAATCCCTCTGTCCTAGCGCTGTGAGCTGAACTTAGCAGGGTGCTCCTCGCAGGCCTGTGAATGTATTCAGTTTCAGTCCCTGAAGAATAGTCTGTTTAGTGTTGTTACCAAAATCATCATAAGATATAATTTAGGGTTTGTATGGACAGGATGGAATAATATAGAGCAGTGTTGTGTTTTTTGGACGGGAAGATGTATCTCATGGGCTACTTTTATCCAAGGATATAGAATTACCCATGTATAAAGTCAAACATTTTGTAAAGCTACATATAAGCCCTCTATTATCAAGATTTAGCCCATACTTCCGCCCTGTGTGCAGTGTGTGAACATTACATTAGGCATTTCCTGTTTGTGCTACATATGGAGAAGCCCTCTCTCCAACCCTGTGCAGCACCTCCTCAGACAGGAAGTAGTGGTCACTAGCATTTCAGGGTCAGTTCTCATAAAGCACATCACCCCAGCAGCCAAGAACATAGGCGACAGATTTGTATTTTTGACAGTCAGTTATTACGTGAAGCCCAGAGATAGAGTTTTTTTCTGAGCAACAAGTTTTGATTTTTTTGTGGATAATTTGATTATTGTTGTTCTGTGTTTGAGGTCTGCCATGTTCCTTGGCTACTTAAAAGAAAAGCCTTGATGTTTCATGTGTGAGCCGTTTCTGCTGTAGCAAACCGGTGCCAAACAGTCAGCTGTGTGTCAGCTGCTGAGGTGGGAATGATTTTGTAGCATTTGTATCACCTCCTCCTGCTTGACAAGACCAGAGTGAGAAAACATACACTGTTTCAAAGAGTACAAACAGTGGCTTCTCACGTTTACAGCTGTCATCTATCAACCCCCCACCTTCCCCCTGTATAACCTTACACACTCACGCTTGCGTGTAACAACTAAACAGTGGTGGTTTGGGGTGAATCCCATCCATCAGAGCTTCTTGTCTTCACACGTGTCTGTCTGTCTGTGTGTGTTATGTGTTATTTAGGCAGTAAACTGTCTTGATTGGTCTCGGTGAGACAGGGGACTTGGAGCGTTCCCAACAACAATGGTTGTGGTAGGCTGTCCTGGTGCTGTGCCAGGTGGCTGAGACCCAGCTGTTTACAGGCCCTGCATGGCTGGTGAATCTGTGGGACCGTTAGAAGATGAGAGCCTGTTTACATTCAAACTACTGAGGTGGTGTGACTCACTCTATAGACTGGAGGTGACACAGGGTCCTGAGAGAGAGAGAGAGAGAGAGAGGACTAGAGGAAGTTGCCGTTGGCTTGAGGACCTCAGGGGAATTGTTTCAGCATTGTTCCAGAGAGATGTGGGGAGGAGAGGGGGGTCACTCCGCCTCTTTCTCTCCTCCCTCTGCGTCCTCTTCCTGCCGTTACAGCCGAACTCTCAGCTGAGTCTTAGTGCTCTTGGAAAAGGGAAGCTTTTGAACACTAGCTCTGGCTCTGTTTGTGTTTGGATTTACAAGGACAGAAGGTGAGCAGCTTTGATCTAATTAATTACCCCACTGAATGTTAAGTAGATGTTGGAGGGAGGCATGGTTGGTCTCCTTTGCCTGCCTTCAAACTTATTTACCTGTATGACCTTTGATTAAGCGAGGTAGTACATTGAACTTGTGTATTCTGTACTGCATCACGTGTCTTCCTCAGGCCAGCCGCCAACTGTGTCCATATGTATATGTGCAGTAATGTCCGCTTTAAACAACACTGGTTTAAGAGGGCAAGTTTTTGATCAGCTGAGGAATGAAAACTACTGATTGCAGGGGAAGATTATGAGGCGACAGCAGAGTGGAGGGCAGCAGACCATTGCAGCGTGACCAGATTGATGGCAGATTGTTTTAAGTTGCTGGGATTAGCAGTGGCCCATTGGGTTTGAAGTTAGCCAACCCGCCCAACCAAAAGGAGAAGAATTAACCTTTGGACTTGGGTGAAGATCCCCTCAGCTGTGAACTACTGCAATCCTGACTTCTCTCAGATCAACCTCTTTTCATGTGGCCTGCTGGTTTACTGCTCAATTGTTCATTCACTGATTCAAATGGAAGACTTTTATACCACATGACCTACAGAAGCTGCTTCACACCCATTCAGCCTTCAGATGTTACAATACATAGCATTACCCTATGTATATCATCCAGAGCTGTAGTCACACATGTTAGGAGCAGCTAAGGATGGGTTTCAGTGTGATGTGTCAATATTTTTAGGCCCCTGGTTCACACAACACACACTGGAGTTATTGTCTCTTGGGTTTGACCAAGCCATTACGACTGCCAGACTAAAAATGGAGTAAAGTCTCTGGAGGTCAGCGAAATGTTAGCAGAAGAATTTGTGGATTGTTGCTGATTTTCTCAGCCCTGTCAGCCTTGAATTTTTTTTAAAATAGATTAAATATAACAAATGGCTTCATGCCTGTGTATGATTGAATATGATGAGTGTTTTTATGGTATTGTCTGTTGACTTTTTTATGTTTACTCAGACTTTGTTGCTTTGACTTGCGTCAAAATAATTTTGCTCATGTTTTGTCTTTATCAGGGATGCTTCTCAAAGATGGCAGCCTGCACCTGGTTCAAAGGCAGCCATGTTGGTGAAGGTGAACAGCATGAGCCGTAACCAGCCCAGCCCATCTCAGCAGCATCTCCAGCACACAAGCAAAGCCAACACCTTCACCCTGCACCCCTCCAGCAACAAGGCCCAAGGAGGACACTTAAGCTCCAACCAGGGATATAAAACTGCTCCATCTGGAAAAATGGCAGCTGACGCACGTCAGGCCCATCACCTGAGAAAAGCTAGCAATGGCAGCTTCTGTTTGGTGACATCAGACAGTAGCCACCCCAGTCCGCTCCTTCACAGGTCACAGACCAGTACCCCACGCCCCATCTCTCCACAGTATGGTTGCACTGCCCCAATCTATGATGAGCCAGTTTCAGACTGTCCCATATATGATGAACCCCCTATAGACATGGAGGTAGAGGGGGCGCACCTATACAACGGACAACCTCTGTCTCGACTGACACCTACCCATAGCCTCCAGAAGCCCAGACACCCCCAACCCCCTGGTCCGTCTCATTCAGGGTCCAGGCACAGGAGGAATCCCTCTGCATCTGACTACAGCCCAGCTGGTCTGGAGTGCATCAAGCACATGGTCAATGTGGACCCCAAACAGGGGCTCCTATCTGGCTCTCCCGTACCCACACGTACCCCTTCCCCTACCTCCAGGCAGGATCCTGTCTTGACCCAGCCTCAGCCACATCCCCAGCCCCAGGCCCACTCTTTGCCCCAGCTCCGAGGCCAGTTGAGAGACAGAGAGCCGGGGACCCCAGGCCCAAGCACACTGGACAAGAAACAAAACTGGCGGGTCCTGGAGGCCACTGTGCAGCGCGCCATGGAGGCACGACACAGCAGGCAAAGCAGCCAGGCATCGCAGGATTTCCCCTCATCAACACCGCAGGCCACAGCAAACTATCAAGACTCTGGTTACTCCACTGGCCCCTCCCCAAGTCTGAGAAGAAAGAGCAGGAGGAGGGTTGGAGCCGGTGGTGGCGCAGGAGGCAGGCCGGGGTCAGTAGGCAGCAGTGGGGAGCTGTGCGCCCTTAATGAGAGGCTAATGGCCGAGATGAGGGAAGTGGTGAGTCGTTCCAACACCATGAGGGAAGTGAGAGCAGGACTGGACCCAGAGATGGGGGAGAGGGTTGTCATTCCGCGAACACGCTCCCCCGCTGACTCACTCCGGTGGTATGGAGGAGGGGGAGGGGTTTCAGCAGGCAGGTGTGCATCACGAGAAGACCTCACTGGGGCTCCCCGGTCACTAAATAGGGCTGGTAACCATGGCAACCCTGCCCTGACACCTCTGGAGATACCAGGGAGGCAAAAAAGGACATATGAAAAGGTGGACACCCTGGAGATGAGCATCAACAGCCAGGCCAGCCTTTCCTCACCAGAGACCCCAGGACCACCTTCCCAGGTCACTGTGTGTGTGTGTGTGTGTGTGTGTGTGTGTGTGTGTGTGTGTGTGTGTGTGTGTGTGTGTGTGTGTGTGTGTGTGTGTGTGTGTGTGGCAAAGAGCCTGAGAGCATGACTTAACAAGTTATATTGTTAATAACAAAACAGAGAGAGAATAGATCATAGCCAATCCAAGATTACGATACTTGCCTGTCTGATTATGAGCTCAGTTGTGTCTGTGTTGTTGTGTGGTCTGTTTACCTCAGCAGGTTTTCTTGGATTCAGCTTTGTTTGGTCTGGAAGTGCTCTGATTGCTGATGTCTCTCCAGATTCACTATCAGATTAGAAAATAATTCATTCTCACTGTGTCAGATGAGGCCGGGTCAATGCCTGAGTAAAGCATCTGCATATTATGGGAATTTTTTACTGCTGTCTTTGTATCGTAGATTGTCTAGTCCTGAGGGAGCTGTGAGTGGAAGAATGGACATGTCCACTTCAATGAACGTGAAGATTGTTTGGCTGAGCAGAAATATTCCTCTCACTATTGGGGCAGATCAGATTTTGTTGTATTTTGACTTACTTTGCAAAGCACTAAAATACAAATAGACACATGTGGATGGACCGTGGTTTATCTTGACGTCAAGGATCCTTACAAAAGGTGCACATGATTGAAGATGAAAGAGCTATTTGACTTCTGAACACAGTTATATAAGTAGCAGCATGTGGAGCCCATTCCAAGTTCTGTTATTTCTAATCTCCAAATCCCCTCTTGCAACAGAACACACCCCATGCCTCCGTACATTATAGTGCTGTTTTCAGAAGCAGTCCCACTGCACCTCTGCAACTATGAATGTTTGATTCAACAGGGAGCTCTGGGATCAAAAGTGTGAGGCTAATCTGTCTCTTTGAAAGGAACACAAACCATTTTGTGAGTAATGCCTCTTACATTCCAATCTTGGAAGCGTAAATGTCCCCAGGACATTAGACAGTGGGCAGGCAAGGCTCCGCTGACTATAATGGCCACAGTCCCAGCATTACCTGTCATCCTCTTACCACCGTCCATCTGCCATGCACTGCAGGTACTGTATACTCATATGCCAGCTCTGTGCTTGGGCATCTGGGGACCATGCCAGACCAGAGTGATTCAGGACATGGCTTCCCTTGGTCAGGAAGGAGAGCCGCTGTGGCCCATATGGCCAAGGCTTGGCAGGGATGAAGGGGAAGGGGGGGGCAGGCTGGTACCAAGGTTTATTGGTACCAGTGTAGTTTTAGCATGTTAGACAACAGCCAAGGAAAACTGAGCAGGCCCCCTAAGCCTGTCCTGGAATGTTCTTCAGACCTGCTGTTATATCACTCACACACTCAAAGATTATGGCTTGCTATGTATGAGCAGCTCTACATTTTCCATATTTGTTCTTGCTGAAAGACCTTTAAACTAACTTCAAAGGATGCACTGAAACTCTGACCATTTCCACAAAGAGCACGAATAATTTATGTTTATGTTAAGCTGAGAGCGTTTTCCGCCGTTCCACTGTTGTGTCCCAACCTGTAGTAAAACTAAATTGCCACCCTGTGGTGGCGCATCTGTAAGATATCTGTGTAATTTACCGAAAGTACAAGTTGTACAGTATATATCCCATTCCTTAGTTAAGCATGTTCTTTGTTGCATTTGATCTTATGGCACTGACCTATGTCACTCACCCAAACATCAGCTCAGTATGACTGTATCGACTCTCTGCCAAAGCCAAACCTCAGATCTGCTCCATTTGATTGAGAAACCAAAATCTAAAGTCCAGCTTGTCTGGCACTCTTCAGCTATATATTAAATCAGGGTCTCATTGGAAAGATGCATTTTGTTTTATGTTCCATTAGTAAATTTCAGCTTTGATTCTGGCTTGAGTTTCGTGTTGTTCCTGGCTGTTTACAGAGTATATCTGGATTACTGGCTTTCTCTCTTAAGGGAGCTGAGGTGTGCGCTGTGGTCATAAACTCCACCGCAGGGATCACAGGGAGGTCTTGTGTAGAGCGTAACTTTGGTTTTCCAGAGGAAGTGAGCCTGGTATAGGGAGGGATGGGGTAAGGAAGGATTGTTATGCCACTGTCTGCTCACCTGCTGCTGAGACCAAGGTTCGTGAGGATTTGGGGAGATTTTTTCCCGGTACAATTCTTTTCTGGCATTAGGAAATTAATGTGCAGATCCAGCAACAATTTCCCCTCGAGCCCCAGCACTGCAGAGTACAGTGGGCGGACGGCAGCTCAGCTCGAAGACTCTGCAGCTACACACACACACACACACACACACACACACACACACACACACACGCTCACACACACAGAGTTTGTACCTCTGCTGCATTCTTGCCTCACCCCCTCTGTCTCCTCTTCTTCTACCCTCCCTCCTACTCTTCCTCTGTACAACTCCTCTTCTCTATCTCATGTCTACCTCTTGTTCCCCTGTAGGCGGGCACCCTAGAGCTGCAGGCTCAGTTGGAGAGCCGAAAGAAAGGCATGGTAGATGGGCGGACCGCTTCCCTGGGCCCCCACCGCCCTGCCAACCATGACAGCAGAGAGGGAGGTGATGGGGCAGGAGGAAGAGCAGGAGGATCCTCCTACCAGCTCTCTTACGCCACCCTGCGGCAGCCCCCACCTCCCGACATGGGCATGGAGGACTGGGCCAGCAAGCATCTCAACATGCACACACAAGGCCTGTTCCGTCGCCGAGTCTCCATCGCCAACATGCTGTCGTGGAACCGTGGATCCATCAAAAAGCCCATGCTTGTCACCAGCAACCGAGCTGTCAGGAAGGAGGCCTGCGAGATGTTCAAGCTGGTGCAGGCCTACATGGGAGACAGGCCTTCACGTTTGGACCGCCGTCACTGCGCCCTACTCATTGTCACCAAGTGCTGGGACATGCCGGGGCTGCGGGACGAGCTGTACGTGCAGCTGGTGAGGCAGACCACGGGCAATGCCAGCCCCAGAAGCTTGGCGGCAGGCTGGGAGCTGATGGCTGTCAGCTTGGCCTTCTTTGCCCCCTCGCCCAAGTTCCGCTGCTACCTGGAGGGCTACATCCAGAGACACACGGAGCCCACCAGCGACAAGAAATGTGAGTCTCAGACTGAGCAACAGGGTGGGTCACCTTTCTTTCTTCTGTACCTCCCTGTGTTGTCTGATCATCAGCATTGATTATGTAGGCCAGAAAGATATCCCTTTTTTAATTATCCTCTCTATTATTCTGTAGAATTATAATTTAATTTAGTCAGTATGATCATCATGATAAAAAGTACATTATTGTTTTTAATAAGTCCAATAATTTGATTTTCGGCCTTGTGTTTATCTAACTGATCACCAGAAATTTGACCTTTTCTTCTTTCTCTGTTTCATAGTGACTCAGTTCATATTGGAACAGCAGGAACTAAAGCTGAAGAAGAATTCAAAGTCCAGAAAGAAGCGAAAACAGAACACAGAGGAGGAAGAAGGTAAAACTACTGTTCATTTACCTGCTCTTCAGTCCAAAATGTTGCTTTAAAGGAGCTATTTGTAAGTTTTGCTATTGTAATTGCCAACATTAGCATTACCAGCTGTTTACTTAACATTTTAGAAGAAACAGCATCAAACTTCATTCCTTTACTTGCCAAGAGCTGTCTCCAGTGGCAGAAAGCAATCTGCTTGTTTTGCTTCTATTTCTATCACTTCTACTGAAGTTACCTTTCTAACCAGCTAGCTCTGGTCCAGCCATACTGTCTAGTCACTTTCCAGTACCAAGTCACTGTGGTGTCAGTCTGCTCCGACGAAGTAGTGCTTCTCAGAAGGTGTATTATAACCTTTTGTATCATAAACGCAACGATGGCTGAAGCTCTCACCATGACTGGTAAGTAAACACCTGTTAATGCTAACATTGGCAATGTAGCAATAGCAAAACTTACAAATAGCTCCTTTTATGAACATTGGAGCCTCTTTATTTCCAATTTGTACAAGTGTATCTGTTGACAGAGCATGAAGTAGGTAGGGGAGGGAGTCTCAAAGATGTTTTTCTACTCTCTTTAAAAGCTAGAGTCTGTAAGCTACACAAGCCATTACAAATCAGACATATTGCTCCCTGTAGAGTGACCGGTCTGACTGGGATGGAAAATTCAGCACTGTGCAGTTTGTCAGATGAGTACATGCTGATGTACTTGCAGACACAATGAATGGATTTCACAGAAAGTTGAACTGAAAAAAACATGTAGGATGAGAATGTCAGAAGGTTCTGTACGCATACAATGGACCACACTGTGAATCATATTAGCGGTCTCTCTAGCCACTTGCATGTCAGGCTGCCATTTAAGAGGATACCTACTCATAGGCACGTGCCCTCATTAGAGCAGACCACACTGCCAGCTCTGATGATGATGTCACCAGAGAGGAACCCAATCGTCTCACAGTAGACACCACAGCAGCGGCCTCACACATTGTACTTGAGTGACTCAGACTCAGTGCTTTATGCTGGAAATACTCCAACTGACTAGGAGGTCACAGAGAAAGCCTACTGAACATTTCTGACTAACTGTAAAAGTCTTTAGAGGGAGGAATCTTGATGAAAGCCAACAACAAGAAAAAAAGGTCTCATATGTCCCAAAACAGCATAATGAAAGCTGCTGTTTTCTTGACGGATGGAGGAGCTGGAACACGTACATTGTGTCTGACCAGAGCAACAAGCAGCTGCAAGCAGCAGGAGTGGGAGTCACATGTGGGAACTGAACCTCTTGTCAGGCCAGACCTGGCCTATGCTCAGAAACTGACTTCTTGGGGCTTGCGGTGGGTTGGTTTCAACCAGCACTTGGTTGGCTTGGATGAGCATCTCATAAACAATAACCAGGATATGACTGAAGTTGTCTCCTCAACATCCTTTAATGGCTTTGTGTTTTTGTTGTTAAGTTTAGCTGCAGCCCATGTGTAGACAGGTGTCATGCCGTTCTCTGCCTGGTACAGTACACTCAAGCTCCTAATGAGCTCATATTTCTCCTGGGCTTTGGTTGCTCGGATGTTGTTGTTGTTTTCATGCCTTCAAACTTGATGTAAATATAGACGACCAGTTTGTCCAATCCCTTTTCACACCGCAGCAAGGGGCTCTGCACTCTTGCTTTTCTCCTAGTAAGTTACAGCCTCTGTGGTGGGAGCCCTGGGAAAAAAGCCTGTCTTTGCCAAGATCAAGGGCAAATTATTGGTATGATCTCTCTAATTAGATGTAATTATAGTCAAACTCGGTCAGTTTAGCAGAAGTCGTGAGCGTGTGTGGGAGTCACCTGTTTGCTATAAATCTTGGGGCTTTGGCTGTAGAGAACATGCTGGAAAGTGTTTGTTACTTTTTGAAATCCCATCAGTAAGTTTGTCCATCTGGCCCTGGTTCAGGTGTCTGATACAGTGGAGTTTCTGGGAACAGGAATGGACCCCATGAGATCTTAGTGTTTGGTGTGAACTAGAAATGAAAGATGGCGATGTGTCCTTTTTATGAGCGCACACGATGACCTAACAGGCAAGGCTTTCTGTTTGCTTTTAGTGTGGGTACGAGAAGTGCACAGAATTTCTAGGGATTTTTTCCGGGACATCAGGTTCTTCTGCTGCCTGAGTCTCTTGAGGTACATCCTGCCTCCTCTAATATAGTTCACTTGTGACATAGATCTGGGCCCTACAGTAGCTACATAGGTCAGGGACAGCAGACAGGGAGCCTCTGTGTTTCTCATTTGCTCCCGAGGCCTTTATGTGTGTGTACGCAGATGAATCACCTGAACGTTGGATGTGTAGGCTGGATCCTGTCTCTAAAGCTTTTGTTCAACAGCAGTAAATCTTCCCTCAGTCTGACAGTTTAGCCGGGCCTGCTCTAATCCCCATATGCTAGAATCACACTGTCAACATGTCTCTCCAATTACCACTGCCAGCCTCTCATACTCTATTTGACAACTGTGGGAAAAAAACACTGCTTGTTCTGTTTGTGGGAAAGAATTGGAATAATTTATTATTTTGTGTGTTCAGTAATACCTGATGGTAAAGGGTTTCATTTAGGGTCTTTGAGGATATATCAAGGGTGTGCATATTGTTTCTTGTGAGGTTGGGTTTCATTGTTCCTCAGTCCTGAATTTGCCTCTTGTGTCACCTTACAGGCTTGCCTATCAGCACATATGCCAAGTTCTGCCATCGGAAACTGCAGAAGGTGGCTATCACTGGTGGCAAAAAGGTGAGTGAGAAGAATTAAAAAAAAAAAAAAAAAAAGAGTGAAGCTATAGATGTTGCATTTACATGCAATCAAAATATTTCATGTCCATATCATAAAAATAGGACATATCTGTATGAAAGTAGTGATTCGCATCTGAGTCATCCTAGATACTGTCACAGAGGGAGACATAATTACAGGCCCACTGGCACAGTCACAGGCAGAGACATAAACATGGACCCAGTCATGGCAGCACAGCTGCAGACACAGCCATGATTAGTATCATAGTCCCTGACATACCCAGGCAGTAAATCTCCTCTTTTCTTACCTCTCGCCCCTCCAGGGACTACGGAAGCCCACCTTGGAGGAGATCGACCACAGTAGGCGGGCCATCATCACCCCCTCCCTGTTTGGCAGTTCTCTGGAAGAGGTGATGGAGAGGCAAAGTGAGCTCTTCCCAGACAGGAAACTGCCCTGGGTGCAGGTTCAGCTTTCCCAGTATGTCCTGGCTCTGGGTGGGGCTCAGACAGAGGGCATCTTCAGGTGAGACAGACCCATCTGAGCCAATTACATGCCTCGGCTTGAGCTGTGTGAGAGATGGGGATCCTAGGAAATTAGAAGGGGATCTTATGTACTGCGTGTGTGTGTGCTGTATTGTATGTATAGTGTATATAAACAAGTGTGTGTGGTCTCCTGCATCCCCTTATTTCAAAGTAGGCTCTCTCTGTGTACAGTACACAGAACAGACAGCAGAACAAACAAGGTCCTGCATTGCTCCTGAGACCAGCTCCGTTTAATTTGATACTTCATAATATGTGTTTACATTACTGCTCAAGCTTAAAAGCACGTGGGAGCTTCACAACCATGTGTTTGTGGAGGGCTTTCTCTAACAAATTTCACTCTTTAACATCTTGACTTGTTTAGAAAACTGTTCCTTTTCGTCAAACGTAGTATACACGGATCTCCCTGTGAAACCCCACTCCCACAAAGGGACTTTCCTGAGTGTTATTTAGTTACATTATGTTTGCTCTGGTTTTGTTTTGTTCTAAAGAGGCACTGCAAACAAAGAACAGAGTATTTTCAGTCACCAAGCCACATTTGAAGCCAATTGGGTGTGCACTTGTAATGGATTTGCCACAGGGCATGGAGAACGTTTAATGATAGAAGAAGAGGTCCCTCTTGTGGCCACTGAGTGTAACTGACGTGCTGTGTTTTATCCTCAGAGTGCCTGGAGACATTGATGAAGTGAACGCACTGAAGCTTCAAGTAGACCAGTGGAGGATCCCAGAGAATCTCTCTGACCCCAATGTTCCTGGTGAGGGAAAGATGTGTTTTATGTCACTCATATGTTTTTGTGTTTCTGCATGTGTGGTGTTTGAATATGTGAATAAAAGAGTGTGCTCATATTGCTCAGCCTCTCTGATGAAGCTATGGTATCGGGAGTTGGAGGAACCGCTCATCCCCATGAATTTCTACAAGCAGTGCGTCAGTAACTGTGACGACCCAGTGGCGGCAATCGCTGTGGTGCAGTCTTTGCCTGAGCTCAACAGACTGGTGCTCTGCTACTTCATCCACTTCCTGCAGGTAACCACCATGTCTCTATAGATTTACAGTCCTCTCAAACACAGCTCTACCATGCTCCCTATTCCACTAACACAATTATGACTATCGTACAACGATCTTTTTTGGCACTCTCTTTTTCTTATTTTACTTTTCCCTTAAGTTTGTTTTTAATGAAGCACCATGTGACCTTTGTCACAGAAACAGAAATTATATTGTATTCAGCCCTGAAAATAAGGTAATTATTGCCAACTAAAACTAATACAATAATACCTCAATCATCAAAGAACAAAAAATAAAAACACAAAAATGGTTTATATACTTCAAAAATAAAATGTCAAATTATTTTAGTTTAGTTTTAATCTTTTTAATTTCTTGTTTAATGCCATATGGTGTTTTAAAATGGGTGCTCTGTTTCTGGCTGTTTTTACTGACTGGATGAAAATTAATAATGAAGATTTTTATTTAGTTATTTTTATACAAAATAAAAGCTCAGTTCAAACTAAAACTTACATTGAAAACAAACCTCAACTAAAAACTGAAAATGAAAAGTATTAATCGTTTGATCTTTTTATGTAACTGAAAGTGACTCATGTGTTACTCACTGCAGGTCAAAGGTCTGTCTGTACACTCAGCCTTGCTCACGGGTTCCTCTCCTTATGTCCTGATTATCTGTAGGTATTCGCTCAGCCATCGAACGTGGCTATAACGAAGATGGATGTGAACAACCTGGCCATGGTGATGGCCCCCAACTGCCTCAGATGCCAATCCGACGATCCACGAATCATCTTTGAGAACACACGCAAGGAGATGTCCTTCCTGAGGATGCTCATTGTTCACCTGGACACCAGTTTCGTTGAAGGGGTGGTATAGACACCAGCCCCTTTTACACAGCCAGTTCAAGGCAGGAATGTTGCGTCTTTATTCCGCCTCGCCGTTCTGTATAAAAGGTACAAACATGGAATAAGGGGGGAATTGTTGTTCCGCCTTTATGCTGGGTGTGGAGGTAGTCACAGAGCCGTATCCACGTCTGTGTCAAAGGAAGAGCCGGCACTGAAGGACAGACACCAACACTGTTGTGTTACACGTCACCCTTCAGATTGCGGCTCACCGCCATGCTATCTAGAATCATACACTGGGGCAGCATTGTGCCGGCTTTGGTTGGTTCATTGTAAACAAGCAAAGGCAGCATAATGAGGAGTCTTCTTAACGGCAATATAGCTGGATCTCTGTTTAAAAGGGGCTACTGTAAACCACCTCACGTTCTGGATCAGCCCTCCAGCATCTCCAGTTACACATTTACAATCATGCATAAACACTGTCTCTGCTCAGACCACACTGGAAACTCTCAAGGTAACATATTACACTTCTTACAACACAAGTGGTGTGAAATCAGCTTGGACTTTGGGCCAAAATGGCCCCTGCTTTGTTGCTGAGAGACAATACACATCACCTGGGCTTTCACTGTGTTTTTTAATACAAAGATCCACAGTGACGGTTCACTTTAATGACTATGTTTTCTAACTGCTGCATGTGAAAACAGATTTACTGGTTCTTTTCTTACTCAATGGGTAGTATTACAGTCACATTGGACAACTGGGCTGTGTAAAGTGAGAGTCTTACAGTATTTACTTCAGAAGTATTCACTTGCACAAAAACACTTAAGGCAGCAGTGTTGACGCTGTGCTTTTTTTTTTTTTGGTTTCATTCAAGTGTGTGTGTGTGACTGTCAGAGAGTGAACAAAAGACACAGCCTTCTTCTATCATGTACAGAAGATATGAAAATATGAAAAGTAAAAGAACTCTTGTAATCGTGTCTTATTAATAAGCTTGCCTGTGCTGTTTTGAGTAGTCGTGCTGATAGCTGGCCTCCTCGTATTTCATTTTACGAGACACAAGAAGCCGTGCTGCCACAACTATTTTGACAAGAGTACAGAGTCTTTGTTTCAAAGCACAAACTGGAAGGATGTGCGGAAAGCACTTTGTAATTGTTGGTGGCAATTTTCTTGGAACTTGGAAGTGCTTTGATTTTCTGACTAAACACTCAACTGAAGCCTGACAAGAGTGTTGTAATTAGACTTTATGTCATAGTGATGTGGGAGGCTGGTTATTCAACTGACACTCTTTCTCTATTATCTATAAAAAGTCTTTAAATTGGAATTGTGTTCTCTTTTGTTTGTGGTGTGTATGTTTTTTTGGCTCAGGTCGTTTGATAAAACGGGTGTTGGTTGTGATAACTGTACAAGGCCACCCTCACAAACACTCACATTTGATTAATCTAGCGCAAACCCCTGTACTGAGAATGGAGTATCTTTTAACTGTCAAGCACTATGAGAATGTAGATTAAGCTCTTTGTGTCCCCTCTCAGGCTTTGCCGATGTAAATAAATTCAGTGTGTAAATAGTATTAACTCTCAAGTGTATTCTAATGATCCAGGTTAAGGGTGAAGTTAAATGTGGCTGTAAAAAGCAATAAAAACGTGTTTTTGTAATTAACTGTTCATTTTTCTGCTGTAACCACCTGCCTTTTGAACACAGGACTGATTCAAACCACTTTCCATGTATGTATATGTGTGTTTGCATACCTTCTTGTTAAAATATGGAATGACTGTCCATAAATAAAGGTTTGTTCAATTGTAGATTGGATGCCTCGTGTTTATTTTTTGGACAATCCTGCCTTTATTTTGATTGTGGATAGCAGAGAGGAGACAGGAAATGAGAGGAGGGACAACATGCAACAAAGACCTCCGGCAGGAAACTGGAAACTACATGGTCAATGTCATGAAATTGGTCACTGGAGAACATTTAAATCTCTTCTTGTGAAGAATTAATTCTGAATTTACAGTACTTGGTATGATAAAATAAATACTGAGACACTTCATGCATTAATTGATTAATAGAATGTTTATCTACAAAATAAACTTAACAAACAAAGAAGGTGAGACGTTTAATTTCTTGTTTATTCTCCTAACCACTTAAATCATTTTGATTTTGATCTAAAATGTCAGGTGAAAATTAAAGATGTTCTAAGGGATTTCCGAATTGTTTTTGCATTTACATGTAAAGGATTGTTATGATTTTGATTTTGTTTTTGTTTATTGTTTGTGTTATGTTATGTTCTTGTTTATGCTGTATGTTTTTGTTCAATGTATTATGTGCACAGTTTAAGGGGTTTATATAGGCTAAATACCCTAGGCTTAAAATACCCCAAAAGGCTATCCCGTCATTTGTTCCTTAAAATATGTTAAATTTTTCAATTAAGGTCAGAGGATCACCTCAAATACTGAGAAAATGTTTGTATAAATTAGTGGACTGTAACATATTAACATATTTTTAATGAATTAAAAGCACAGTTTATAGGGTTTTCAAAGGTAAATGAACAAACATAAGAAACCTGTCTCTGAAGTTTCACCTTAAATGAAAAGTTAAGTTTGTCTTAATCTAGAAAACAATTTAGAAAGCTAACCCTAACCCGGAACTCTGCATGTAATCCAGTACAAATAATTTAATATGGTACTATCTATTCAATTATCAATGCAACAATCCCCTTAAAATTTCAGTGACATGCCATAATTAGATTATTATCAATGGTTATATAAATGGAATTTGGAATGGAGTTTTCAGACTGTTAGTGTTCCATGAAAGCAGAAGCAATTNTATGGAAAATTAAGGGATTAATTTTATGGAGGTTCTGTCTGGGATGTCTTTTTTACATAATATAATTTAAATGTTTTCAGACTGTTAGTGTTCCATGAAAGCAGAAGCAATTACCCTATATTTCTCAATCTATCAGTCCTGCTGGTCACGGTGATGGCCCCCAACTGCCTCAGATGCAGATCCGACGGGATATTTCTTAAAAAGGCCCTTTTAAAGGATTTGCAATGTGTTACACAATGACAAACAGACAGTAAGAAACTGTTGTACAGTGAGACTGTCATGGTTTGCTATGGCAGACACCTTTTGTTAGTTTTGTTTGGACTTTTTGCACTTCCTGTTTTATTTTATACTTGGTTTCCTTGTGTGTCTCAGTGTTTTGCTCCCTGTCGTGGTCCTGTTTTCTGTGTGGTGATTGTCTGCCCCGCCCTAATGTGTTTCACCTGTGTTCAATCACCCTTGCCTCCCTTGTCTATATAGTCTTTGTGCTCCCCTTTGTCTGGGTCGGTTTGTCACTGTTGTCATTGTTGTCTCTGGGTTTGTCCTTCACGTCTGTTTATTTCTGGATCTTCCTCAAGTTGTTCAAGTCTGGTTTGTCTTCAGTCCGTTCATGTTACCTGTTGTCATCCCCTGTGGTTCCCTGTGCGTGTGTTAGTTTAATAAACCTGTCTGCACCGTCTCCCATGTGTTGGCTGCATTTGGGTCCAGCTCTTACCCCTCAAACCCTGACAAGCCCTTACAGTTGTGACAGAGACCAAGAATGGTATCAAGCCTATAAGAGGGAAATCCTGACCTCTACATGCTGAACCCAAGTGGACATCCGAACAACTTTTGGCAGCTTCCATGAAAAAACTAAAAGATTTCAACTAAGACATAGAAGATGGAGAATATGTCTTGCTCTATCTTCATGGGTCTGAGATAAAAAAAAAAAACCCTGGGACTGACATAGCCTTTACCATTGAACACAAGAGGCCATTGGAGAGTCTTAACAAAGGATCACACTGTACACCTACGCCCTTGAGGCCTTATTGTCAAAGGACAAGTACTGAAAAACAGTATGTATGTACATGTAAAAAATCTACTGAAAATTCTTTTTGTGAGTCTTTTCATTAGGGTGCACGGGTGCTGGAGGGTATAGCATAAGTGTCAAATACGCAGTATATACATACTATAGAGTATGTTCAATATATAAATGAGTCACAGTGTTTCTTTCTAATCTGACAGTACTGTTCTCATTCTGGCCGCCAGACAGAATTCAAAACAAATAGACCACTGTTTAAAAATGGATGAATAGTCACAGCTTTAGTAATTGTAACGTAATGTGCTCTGTAGGTAAATAGTTCATTTTGTTTGTGGAATATTGTTCATACTATAGCGGATATATTTATTTCGGCTGATGCCTTACTTTAACCTAGAATCACATGTATATAAACCTGTAAGTGATGGTTCATAATACACTAATGTGTATTATGAACACAGACAGGACATTTTAAGTGTTTATTAATTGACAGTATTTGTCAACAATTATAACATCTTTGAAGACATATTTTACATTATTGCAGCTGTGTTTGGCTATATTTTCATTCATTTAATTTCCCACCAGAGGAGTGATAGTTGATGAAAAATACATTAATGAACTATCTGCCTACCACCATTTCTTAAATGTGTGTATACTAATAAATACCAAATAAGGGGGGCTTGAACGTGGAAATCTTCCAGTAGTTGTTCACATATCCCCCATGCTGTGCACTTTTTGACTTATAGAATTACAGCAACTGTCAATCTTTATTTTTTGTAGGTTCGGGGAGGGACAAGCAACACCCTAGAGCTGCATCCTTTACTCCTCTTCTCATTCCTGTGCCACACTGGAACAAAGCTGACAGCTTATGCTGTGGAGAACATCTTTCATGTGCAGTTCAGTTCACCTGGTTGCACGAACTGTTCTACATAGAAGGTTTTGACTGTTATATAATTATAAGAACGGTGTGGAGAATTATCACTGCAACAAACATTGATCTATAAAGTAGAAGTTACATCAGCTCAAGAAACCTTCAATTAAGACCATTTTTTCCTAAGTATTGTTACACACAAAGGGATAAATCCAGAATCTCATACAGTGTGGTCCATAACAATTTAAACAAATATGAGGGTTCCATTGTTTTGCCACATGTGGTTTTGCAAAAATGACAAACCACCTCCATCTAACAAATAAACCCAGGTTTAGGGCAGAGTTAACTTTTTTATCCAAATGTTGCAAATGTGCCATTTTATGTTCCTGCCACAGTTGAAATGCAGGGATGTTCTTATAGCTGAGAAGTTTTAACTTGCACTTCATGTTATTGTTAAACATTGCAAGCCACTCCGTTAAACAAGACATGCTCATGTTAATATTTTGATTGTACTTTTGATACAATTCTGAAGAACTAGCCTATGTTAGAGTTTTATTTTGACAAGTGACAGTTTTCTTTAAAGACCAAAGATTTTTGTGAGTACAGGAATGCATGATATATTGTTTTGCACAACTGAAGAGTTTGAGTTACACACAGAGCTTTAACCTTGTGTTTACTAAATCACTGACGCTGAGAAAAACATTGGTGTAAAATCCAGAGAACAAATAAACTTGTGCTTCCAGAAGCATGACGGTAAACAGTTATTTACATTATACTGTCTATATGAGTAGAATAGAGATTATATAACAAAAACTCTTCATAGTGTTTAAAGGACTTTCACAGGATCCCCAAAATCAATGCCCTAGATAGATAGATAGATAGATAGATAGATAGATAGATACTTTATTTATCCACTAGGGGAAATTCATGTAAAGAAACATGACTATGTTTGAGAGGATTTATACTGTAAATGCATGATTTATTATACAATACTTTATAGGAAATACATTATTTTGTGACTTCACTGAGTAGGCCTAACCTTATTTCTTCAGGGACAGACAGTACACATATAGGGAAAGTTTTCTGCAAATCAAGGTATGTGCATCAGTGTGGAACTGTAACATATAAATTCATCACATTAAGGCATTTTTACCAGCCTGAAATCCACAACTGTTCAATTGAGTTGGTCTTGGTTTCCTTCTACTACATCCTGTAAACAATATGCTTTGGATGGACAATGGGTGGTGCTATATGCCCAGTCATCTGTACAAAGGTGTGAGCAATGACTTATAACTTGTTCAGGGCCTCTCACTTGCTTGATCCAAATGTATTCATATGGAAAAATGGTATGTTCTGATGGTGGCCTCCATTTGATTCATGTATATGCTCACAAAAGGTTTGTATTGCCTCTGCCTTAACTTCTTAATTGAGGTCAATTTATAATGGATTTAGATGTGCTTCGTTTCACAACTTTGAGCTGTTTAACAGTCTATGAAAAATACTTAAAGATAATATTTAAAAAATAACACATTTTGGCATTTTTCAGGAGATAAAGGGGCTTATCGGAATACATGACGGTTCGGGTCCGTTGTACGCGCATGCGCATTGTAGCGCCACACAGCCCGCGCCGGTGGTGAATGCAACTGGGAGAAATTCAACTGCGTGATCTGGAGCAGACAGGCGGAGGCGGCGGTGCCTGCACTGTAAAGGGATTACACTGCACATTTTACACCCAACCGGACAAAGAGTGATCGGAGAACAGGTAAGAAGCACAATTCGTATCCTCCCCTCGCATTTCAGAGTTTATAACCCCCAATGAAATCGTGAATGTGGCCCGTTTGGTGGATGCATCAACAGCGTAGATGGTGCGATGCCGCATGTCGGCTTTTTGAGTTCAAAACAAACGTGACGAAGTAGGTAATAAAATGTTATGTTTGTACATTTCGCTGTTCTGTTTGTGCAGCTACCGGTATGTTTCTTGGTCGCCGTGGGATTTTTCACTCGGGGCTTTTAAATGGCTCCGTGTTTTTTCAGTTGGGGAAGTTTAATGCTTTACATTTCCACGCTGCTCGTTCTCAACAGGAAAAGTATGAAAA